TGGCGTCGTTGGTGGAAGAGCTGCGAGAGAGCGTTTGGCCACACCGCCTTTAGGTCTTCCACCAATGACGTTTGCAACAACCGCCCGCCCCAGCCATCGTGCCCATTGCTTTCAACTACCCTCGTATATCTAACCCTAGCATAAAACTAGAACGGCAGTGATTCAGTAAAGTGAATTCGGAAGTTCCAACTCACCTTGATAGCCTCGATTTGCGCAGGTGTGAACCTCACTTGATTTTTGTTCGGATAGCTTACGTAAGGAGTTTGAGGTTCTCGCTTCAGAGGTGTCACCTCAATCACTTTCTCGCCTTCATTCCCACCCTTCCGTATAAGATCTTTGAAGGTCAACCTGGAATTAAATCGATTAAAATTTAGAATTCCGAAAGGTGTTTTCGGAAAACTCACTGAAACGGTGGGATCATTTTATCCTCTTCGACCGTTGCTTCAATTTGATAACCAGGGAAAGACTCTTTTAGATGTTCGAACGACAGAAACGTGTCATTGAAGTCCAACGAGGGTACAACATTACTCATCCTGCAAATAGGTACACAAACGGTTGTCTTCTCCACTGCTGAGGCGTTCACTTGAAAATTCATCCTATTTTTAAACTGCGAAGGGGTCATTCATGAAATCACCTCCAAGTTCTGCAGCAACTTTAGCAAATGTTTTTTTTCAAAACCCACAGTTCTTATCATGAAAGTATAAGACATCCTTTTTGAAGTTATGCGGTAGAAAATGGCAGAAAAACAGGGTTTATACAGTCTCCTTCGCTACGGATGATGGGCGTGTCAACGCGCCAGCCCGTTTCCACCAGTTGCCGAAGTGACAACAACTGGGGAAAACGACTGATGTGAACGATATAGTCTTGTCGCTTGCCGTAATAATAAAAGAGAAAAAAAGGGTTGGCATCGCGCCAAACGCAGGCACGCTGGCACCGCAAAGTATTGCGAACTTTCGCGATAACTTTCACAGTGAAACGTATATTGAGTTTTTTGCCCAACGGCCGTCTCATTGCAGAACTGTCAGGGCACAATGCATGTTGGGGCTCTTAACTACGAGGGCAGGGGTAGGGGTGGACATCCGGTCGTTAGGGATAGGGTCGTATGCGTTTTTG